AAAATGTTTAAAGCAGTGTGAGCCAAAGTGTGAAAAGAAACAACATATGAAGATTTTACAGAGCCAGACACTTTGATTACAGCAATAATTCTAAAACATCACACTGATTACTAATTCACCTAAACAAACCATTTACACTTACATTCAAACCTAGGATTAATTCAGAGTGAATCACTCACCTAATGTATGACTCTGGCCTGTGAGAGCAATCTACCACAGAGGTAAAAAAATACCTGCAAAAAAAAAAAAAAAAAAACATCAGTTACCGTTGGGAATCTTTTTGTCCTACAGCAAGATCACTGTGGGTACAAAGTTATTATGAGGATTATAATTTAGCATACAGTCTGCAGTAAATTCATGCAACAAATATAAATATATAATATAATCATTTTTCCCTTTTTATTTGCATAATGCATCCACCTGATACACCTTAAATAATTAGATATAAATGACGATATTTGATAATATGACTTAATTCTACAAACATGTAAAATGAAATATCCAAATAAAACACCAACACAACTTTACTACTATCCCATTTGAATTTCAGGGGTCATGACCCCAAGATTCAAAATACTGCATTAGGGGATAACGCATTGGATGTGACAACACACGTAAGAAAGAGTCATGTGATTGACAGCCAGGGGTGTTCAAGGAGCGTTATTGCAGACACTATCTTTTTTTAAAAAACCCTGGTCATCAGACAGCAAAACGGTACTCAGTTGGTACTCAGTTGGTACTCAGTTGGTACTCAGTTGGTACTCAGTTGGTACTCAGAGGTACGATTGGTGGAACGTCTTTGCAGCAGAGTGGCTCTGTTCATTGTTCATATACAGTCAGTATTCACTGTCGAATCCTTTACTGTTGAAATGTGCTCTCTCCAGCGCTCATCAGTGTCCCTGACAGAAGTGTCGGCCTGTAATCATTGTCTTGGTTGGTCGTTTGCTTCGTGTGTGTGTGTGTGTGAGAGAGAGAATTTGAGCGCGCATGCGTGTGTTTTTTGTGACTCAGAGATAAATATATAAAAGCAACAACAAAAAAATGTGTCAACCTCGTCACCTTCTGCTTTTATTCTATGCTCAGCGATGGATGAAAACTTCATCAGACCTGGTGTTTTTTCTCCTCCTCTCAGTCTCATCAGTAACACACTCCAGGCATGACCACAGCACCAGAGCAGTCAAATCTGTGTGTAGGAGTTAAAGGTTCATCAATCATTCTGTCTGAAGTATTTCATATGAATATGAAAAATATACATGATTATTTACTAATATTACAGAGGTTGATGCTTAAGGGGAAGTAGTTCATCTGAAGGGAAGGATTGCCTCCTCACAAGCGTAATGATCTTTGAGTGCTTGTGTGATCTGCTAATGAACACCTAACTTTTTTTAACACATTTGTTGTCCATGGTCTGACTTGTCCCAGAGTCGTGGGGGGTCCTGTGCAGAAACAAGTTGGACGTGAAGCTCTGTCTTCTTGTGAGAAAGTCAGTGGGTGGCAGTTAGACAGGCTGAACGTCACCTTCTGACTGGTGTATGTGACCTAATTCAACGCTTCACTTTCTGTATGGAGTTTATGAGTGTTGATATTAACCATAATTAGGAGTGTGAATATGGATGGTAGTTTGTCTCTGTGCGGTGTGTGGCCCAGTGATTGACCTGTCCAGGATGTTCCACACCTTTGCCCTGTAATTGCTAAGATTGACCCCCGGTCCCATTGTGACCCTTCAAAGAAGTAGCAGGAAATGAATGAATGAAGCTAACCTTTGTTTGCTGGAGTTCCCAGACTTGTGTTCTTAAGTCGTCCTGAATATTTTAAATGCACAGCAAGTGATTTAGCGGAATGACTCCAGTGATTCAATTTTTGGCATTTTTAAAAAAAATACTTGCTACCATCTCTTATATGTCATGACATTTGGTCAGATGCAGCCCACATTGTCTGACCTGTGTCAAGCATGTGGGCTGCATATTCTTAATTGGATAATAGCCGTTATTGTGCTCCATGCACTGACCTTTAACCTTTCCATCTCATTAGAATGCTTCCTTGGCCATTCTTTCTATTTTTCCCACCACGAGTGTTTTATTCTGTGTTCTGTTATTTTTATTGTCCATCGTCCTGTTATCCAGCGAGACCGTCATCAATAATGTATTTTTATACCTTCATACTAGAACACAAATAAAAACTGTGGTACATTTTAACGTCTCACAGTAAGCACACTTTGTTTTTGCTGATTTGACTTCATTTTGAGTTTGAAAACCAAACATTCTAAACCAGTGGATTTGAAGGGCTGAACTGGTTTTAAAGTGTGGGAGGGAAACAGACTAAAGTAGATACAGGAGTTGGTCATGTGGGAGTTAAACCAGTTATAGATAATGTCTAATTTAACCCACAGGGTTCCACCTGCTGCTCTGGCGGGGGACCGTGCTCCAGATGGACTGTGATTGTTTTCACACAGGCCCAATAAAGAAACACTAACAGGACCCTTTTATAATTCTAGTGGGAGTTTGCCTGGCGCTGCCTGTCGGTTTGGGTGTGTATTTTCTTCATGTGTGGGTACATCATATTCTGTTTCAGCAAATGAAATGTTACAGGAGTTAATAGTTTCTTTTACTGGTGTTGAATTAAACCCAGACCAGAAAAACCTTCCAGCGGTATTTCACTGGCCCAGGACTTCAGACTCTGATAGATTTGGGTCAATAAATTTAGAAGATACCAGAATAAAAGTGATCGCTCTGTATGAATCTAGATCAGCGGTTTTAGAGGGGTCATCTTTGATAATATTTAAGGACCTGAGAGTCAACGCATCTGTGACATGACAGGAGGAGACAAAGATGATGTGATCTGATGAGACTTTAACTAAGTTGCATGAGAACTGCAACGTGTTCAACTACATCATATCATTCTGTAATTTTTTTTTTTTTTTGCTGTATTTTAACATTTTATATTGAATTTTATTTGAATACAGGCCATCTAGTTTGAACAGATTTCCACAAAAGATATCAGATAGACGTCTTTTGTCTGGATGTTATGTAGTGAGCTGAAGAACAACAACAAAAACTGTGGTTTGTGTCGTGTGGTTTGGATGAAAATACACAGTCCATTAGGTTTTTGTCAAGGTAATTCCACACGTCATGTTAACAACACTCAGCCATTCAAAACTGTAAAGACAGACTCACCCACAGCCAGTCAGGGATGGGAGGAGAGACATGTTCAACCCGGTGGGCTGTGGACACAGGAGGACAAATAGATTTCAGGACTGACACACAAAAAAATATATATGTATATATACAAGAAATAAGCTTTAATACTGTGAAAGCATTTTTTTTTTTTTACTTTAGTACTCAAGCGATTTGGAAGTTCGACTTGTCTGTTATTAAAAACAAAGATAAAAACAATAAAACTGTCTTCTCACATCCATCATCATCTTACTGTATGGCTTAATACTTCATAGGAACACTGCAGGGAATCTCTGTTAAAGTGGCTAACTCGTGTACACTTCATCAGTCCATCTCTTGGCCACAGAAAATCATAGACACATTTAAAATCAGAGTACCTGGAGAGACCCCCCCCCAACCCCCCACCCCCATCACAGACAATAACAGACTGCCAAAGTGTTTTAATTGTTGTGGGTTTGTATGTTGAATTTTTACAAATTTCTGCTGCACCAGAGACTAAATAATCAAATTATAAACCTGGAGAAAAAACTGCATAAATGGAAGGCAGTTGCACCGACAACTTCCCCCACTATGCAGCTGCACTCCTATGAAAGAACAGTCCAGCAGTTCTGGGGCTCTTATTGATTTTTCTCGGACTCATTTCATAAACCATGTTTACTAAACGGTCCTCTCGGCTCTATCACGTTGCCCTGGCAGGAATTTAACCAGTGGCAAAACAGTGTGTATTTCCAGCCCTGACATGTTTACAAATGTCTACACTGTCACTGCTGATAGTGTCACCGCGTGCCTACGGGTTGATTCCTCAGAGATTCCTCCTCTGTGTGGCTGACAGAGAAAAGGCAGCTCCGCCGTCTGAGAGATTACGGCAGCGACTGCTCCCCAGCAGGTAAAAGTGGAGTAGATGAGAATCTCGACAACAGGGACGGTCTTTTTGAACTTGTCAGTCAGACCCCAAATCCATACAGCTGCTCTGCTCTCCCCCTCTGCACCTCCTGTTCATGTGAGCAGAAAGAGGGAGTCTGGCTGCATCGTGACGCTCATGTCAATGAAGACGAGGGGGTGGTTGTGTTTGGACAAAAAGCAAGGTGATGCATAGAGCAAAGGAGAAAAGACTCAGTTGTACTAAACACAGGGAAACCAGGAGGGAGTTTTTAGAAGGTGAAGGCAGAGAAGTCTGGAGGAATCGTGAAGTTCATCCTGATGAGATGAAGCTCTGCTGCCAATCCTGTTCCTCTCTTTAGGGACAGAATGATATACAATTTCACACTCACACTGCTTCTTTTGTAATCAAAGGCAGTTTGACCCTGTGGCTGTTATACCTGCAGTGCCCCTAGAGGTCATGTCCTCAAACTCACTGCTCCCTGCATATACACACACACTAATCACCATGGATGGATGTGAAAATATTAGTTTTTCTGACTAACTACTTCAACACAACTTGACTGTCATTTTTAGCTTTCTGGACATTCTTAATCTCCCTAAATCAGCTCATTTTGTACATTATCTCTGCTGCGAGGTTACATTCCTTTGGCAGACAGTGGGTACAAGTTAGTTTTTCTTGAGCCGATTCTGTTCCTTCCCCCCCCCCAAAAAAAAATAAATAAAATTTAACCCCAACTTTCAGTCCAATAATTTCTATCAATCTTAATCAAGCAATTATCATTTTTCTTGTAGGAACTTAGAGTTTAAGTGTTGCCTCCAACTACTAAACACCTGTATTGACCAACTTAATGTTAAATTTCTATAGGGAGAAAAACATATTTTAAATGGTGCATTTAGCTTTACGATGCATATGACCCTAAAAGCACTTCAGGCACAAGTCAGCTGTAGGCTGGATTTTTTAAACAAGCTTTATTTAAAAGTCTTGGCCACCACTGACCACCAGTGGACCGTCATCTTTTTGACTTGGCGTGAGCAGATTTATTTCTTTGCTCTGTCAGGATGACTCCTCCACTTGAGACAACGACTAACCTCTGGTCAGAAGAGGCGTTTCTCATTGCTCTCACGTCTCTCTTGCCTGCAAGGGGACATTTTTAAAAAAAAAAAAAAAAAAAAAATTTAATTTTTTTTTAAATTTTTTTAAAAACCCCGGGGAAAAAAAAAAAAAAAAAAAAAAAAAAAGCAGCAATTCTGGAGAAACATCTAAATGTTCCGTTTCTGATGTTACGTTATGTTTTTCTTTGCTTCATGATGGCCTAACACATCTGACACTTATCTGTTATGAAACCGTTTTAACCACAGCAATTTAATCAAGAGGCTCTAATGCATGCTGTGATAAGTCAAGAGCTTTGACTGCTGATTGAGACAAAAAAAAAAAAAAAAAAAAAAAAAATTCCAGTTATTATGCATGAAGCTACTTACGTTGTCTGTGACACGGCTGTTCACATGAGTTCGTGCTGCTGGAATAACACACTGCTGTAGCACAATGGATGAACACCTGGAAAAATATATACACGAGTTAGCACCAAGCTTCAGTCATTCACCCCCGCTGACTAGTGAGTATGGCTCTCCCCAATCCCATGTTTAAAGCTACAAAGCCACTGTACCGTTTGCATTTGGGGTTCCAAGCTGTTATCATCCACAAACGTGAACATCTTGAAGATGAAACGTTTGTGATGTGATGGGAAAAAGAGCCCAGAGGACACAGTCACAGGCACAACAGTTGTCATGTAATGGTCATCGTGGTAGGGACACCTGTGGACAAGAAAGGCCAAACAATGTCAGACTTTGTCGCTAATCCGTTTTTAGCCGTCATTCGCACTGTTTCAAGTTCCATATACCCGTCAACCAGAAGATCCCACTGGGGCAAGCTGCCAGGGTTTGATGTGGCCGTGGCCCAGCAGTGCTCCAAGTTCAAAACCAGGTTTGGATCAGACCTTTCAGTGATGCGCACCTCCACATACACAGGCTCCCGCAGCACTTTGGTGATGGGATAATCTACTGGAGTGTAGAAGGAATCATACGCTGCCTCCTCTGAAGGCAGAAGATTTGACGTCAGTTCTTTGACCACATCAGGCCGTGACATCACTGAAGCTTGTGCACCACTTACCTTGCACACATCCCTTTGAGTAACACTGCCCGTTACCGAGCCTTAGCTCCACCCTGAGGGGCCCTGCAGCAGCGACCGGCACAGGTGGAGGAAGATCATTCACCTCCATGACGAGAGCCTCCACAGCCGTGTCGAAGTATTTACACTGGAACAGCAGCCTGTTTCAGAGACAGAGCAGGGATTTGACACTGCAACAACAGTTCAGTGGTTTGGGACAAAGCCAGAAGTGATTTTAATCATGGACTCACTCAAAATGGCTGTCCCTGGTGATGGAGCCTCTGGGGCCAACACCCACTTCATACGAGGAAGACATGTGGTTCTCATAGACCACATACCCCTCTTCCTCCTGCAGTTTGGGAAAGGTTGAGATTTTAGATTTGGATTTTAAAACCTTACCTCCAAGTACTACATCGTACAAATTTTGGAGACTTCGTCAGTTTACCTTGATCGTTGTCCCACATGCAGTCATAGGGAACTGGAAGATGGCAAAGGCTGAGGTGACCCCAACTGGGCCGCAGGAGGGGTCATTAGGGTCCAGCAGACTGATTGACTCCACATCCACAGGTGGTGAAGTCGCATCTCGAGCAACAACCACCACAAACTGTCCATCCCTGGTGCACTGGACAGTCACTGAGGGAAAGAACAACAGTTGATCAACACTTTAGTCTAGAACTCACAAGGTTAAAAAAAAACAAAGAACAAACAGACATCACTTCACCTGCTTTGCCGTAGTAGCACTGCTGCCCACTGAAACAGCAGTTTATACTGTCACACTGCTCCGCTGAGATATCTGGAGCTCCACATTGAATCTTCTCCTTCTCCTCCATCTGGCATTTATCAATGGGAATGTGTGGAATAGTAACCCTCTGCTGCTGCTGCTGCTGCTGAGGCAGCACAGTAGGAAGAGGAGGTGGACGTTTGTGCACAAGCAGTGGCTGATAATAGTCAGGCGTAACCTCCGAAACCAGAACAGCAACAACAACCAGCAGCAGCACACCAACCAGATCCATAATGGTGCTCACCAGACCTTCAACAAGAGGAGCTGAGCTGTTGGAACAGACGCCGTCTTTATACCAGGGAGGTTCTCTGCAGACTGCTGCCTCATGTCATTAGGAGTCAATTGTGTGACAGCCCTGCAGAGTTAATCAGCTGACAGGTGGAACCTCAAGTCTCTGAAGCTGATTGGCTGTTTGACCTGAGAGTAATAGAGTAGAATAAAATAGAATAATGTTTATTTGAAAGACAAGATAACACAATAAAAAGGAAAACGTAATAGATAAAAAAATAAATAAAAATAAAACATCATAAAGATAACATTACTTTGATTGTGTAAGTGAATTTACTTAAGCCAGTTGTTCTCAAAGTGGGGGGCAACAAATATTAAAAATAAAAATATAAATTGGAATTTTCCTTTAGTTGAGTCACAGTGAGGAAATTGCATGGATTTGGAATTTTGTTTATTTTTTAAGAAGTTTGGGAACCACAGATTTAAATTGATTATGTCACAGTGTATTTTATAAAAGTGAAAATTGATGTTTTTTTTCTGAATCCAGATGTATGGGCGGTACACCCAGGAACTAGGTGTGTATGCCAAGGAGGAAGCGGCTCGTCTGCGTGACGGAGGAGTCCGGGACGGCGCAGGCCTGCGGAGGAACACCAGTGTTCGTAGTCGCACTGCAGATCTGCTGGAGTATCAGAAGGATCCTTGTGCAAAGTGTCAGTGTAAGTGATGATCACGAGTCAAGTCTCAAAGCCTCATTATTTTGTTCTTTCAGGGTGAAGACAGAGTCCAAGTCGTGTCCTGAAGGTCAGGTTACAGCCTCGCCTAACACACGCATAAACAACTGTGATATGTGTGTGTTGCCCTGCAGCAGCCTTGTGCAGCACTTCTGCTGGTCAGCGGTAAAGTAAAGTAAAGTAAAAAAAAGGGAATGACTTTACTTTGAAGGAGAGCAGAGGAGGAGACAAACATGATTGAATGTGACTGATGGAAGAAATGGCCTTCAGTCCAAAGTACTGTCTGACTTTTAAAGACGACTCTCTCTGTTGACGAGCAGTTCTCTGATCAGACATGTCAGCGTGCTCCATGTCCAGTCATATACTGTATATATATGTGTGTATATACGTATATATGTATACATGTAACAGACTTCTTAAAAATGCCTTTGGGGCCAATTATTGTAGAATTTTTTTATGTAATTGTCAATGTTGCTGTTTTAATTGATGCAATACTAGTCTTTGGGAATGTTTTGAAGGGCCATAAAATAAATTCACTAATATTCTGCTTAATAGTAATAATAATAATATATTTTAACACTATTTCTCTGTATTTTAGACAATGGTTCAGTGATACCAGTCAAGCATAGACATTATTAACTACTGAGGAAACCTACTGTTGTCGTCCACTAGTGTCTTCACGGAGACGCTCTGTCTCTGTCTCTGCCTCTTTGTCCTTGTAAGCAGTGATCTGATTAAATCTCCGCTGCAGCTCAGGTGAAAGCTACACTACATCAGGGCAGCCTCGCACACTGGCTTTAATGGCAGCCATTAAAAACAATCAGCCTCACATCAGGAGCAGGCCGGAGTGTTGTGTGAGGGTGTGTGCGTGAGCTGTCTGCATGCTCGTAGATCAAGGGGCGTTTGTATTTGTAGACTTGTCTTCAAATGTCCTCTCGGTGCTTTTTGTGTCCTGTTAGCTAATGTCTAAAGACCACAAACAACCTGTGGCACTGGTGGCGGTGTAAAAAGATGCATGAGTGAGTTTTTCTGCTCTCATGTATCAGTGTGTGGGAAGCACATCTCCGTGGGTGAAGGACTGCAAGCCACAGCCACGGTTCGGTTCAGTTACTGAAGCTGGTGCTTTCAAAAAGGCAGCCTACACATGCAGCTACAGGCCGGGCTGCCGGTCGTGACAGGAATAGAAAAAAAATCTTTGTCTGTCTCACTTGAGTTCACTTTGAGTGACAGGACTTAGATCTCTCCCTCTCACCATGATTCCTAAGATTGTGAGGCTACACTGAGCTAACACTGCCATTTGATCGGGCGTCTGAATACCAATCAGCCGACAAAGGGTTGAATGCAGAGCATTTAAATCAAAATATAATAACACAAGAAAAAAACACTTAATAGATAAAAGATAATAGATTTAAATCAAAATATAATAACACAAGAAATTAACACTTAAAAAATAGATAAAAAAAATAGATTAGTGTAGGTAGACGATGAGATTTTGAAAATTCAGCTCAATCTAAAATACTTTGTATTGAGAAAAAATACTAACATCAGAAAATATGTTTCTGAATAAATTCTTTTTATTTACCAGTTTTGTGAAATAAATCTCCATTGATTGGAATTAATGCAAAAACACAGGTTTGAAACACGTACCTCGACCTGCTGTTACTTGTCTTTTATCCAAATAGCCCCTCGGTTCAACTGGAGAGCGTGGTTCACTCACACACACTCCTCCGATACAAACAGACATGATTGACACTTCTCCACAGGACGGTCTGAGTCATCATGACATAAATGTTGTCCTCCTCACAGATCTTTGGCGTTTTGCAGCTTAGAGTAAAACAGAAAAACATGAAAATGTTTTTTGTGCATGAGAAAACGTCACAGTTGCTATGATGACTAAATATAGAATCAGACAAATCCCTGTTTAAAAAAAACTGCTTGTTTAGATTCTTCACTATTAACTATTGACTGAAATTCAAGCTCACTTATACTGAAGTGTAAATACAATCTACTGTAAACAATGGCTGATCGGAGCTTATATGATTATTAATTCAACGCAGGACTTTGTTTGGCTTCCAGATGTCTACTGCACTTTTTTATGAACAGTTAAAAGCTCTTTTTTAACTTCTAAAAATAAACTCATGAAAATGAATGAGTTGAGACTGAATTCCCTGCTGGTCCCAGAGGCTGCGGTGGAAAAGAGTTGATTTGTCCATCTGTGTTCTGACAGATGCCACTTTAAACTGAAGCTAAAGTTTGTAAGACTCCAGATTATAACTGCCTTGATGTAAGACTGAGCCAAGATGCACACACAACACGTGGCAGGTGCCAGACTGAGTGTGTGCGTGTACGTGTGAGAGAGAGAGGAATGGATAAAAATAGCTTGGCTCTGGGGGGGATTATATTTGTATTTGGCACACATATTTCTATATATTTTTACACTGGGCCATGGGTTTCTTGTTTGTGCATGGTATTTGAAGGTAACTTCCATCAAGCAGGTGGCGCTATGTGGCAATATACACACGTTTTCATTACTTACATGGGAGAATACACATTTTCTTGGGCTGAGTTTGATTCATCTCTTACCTTCTCTGCTTTGATTCAATGGCTAAATGCACAATTGTTTAGTTTTGTGATAATTCACAGGAGTCAAACTCAGGCCCGAGGGCCAAATCTGGCCCACAATGTAATTATATTTGGCCCGCGAGATCATATCAAATGTGTACTGGAGTTGGCCCATCAGTGTAAAGCATCTATATGCTGACAGGATCTGTAGTATTAGCGATGCATGTGCTATATTATAGTTTGTCGAGACAGTTTTTAATTTTGGCCCACTGTGAAATTGAGTTTGACACCCCTGTGGTAATTGCTCATAGTGCAGATAGAATGCAACACGCCCAGCTCTCCCCTCACCCCCCACTCTCTCTCTCTGTCCCATCACTCAGTTGACACTTGAAATCCATGACCAGTGCTGTTGATTTCCCTGCAGGACGGTCGAGGTCTCCGGTCCTCCATCGAAGCATTTTTGTGAAATATGGATCAAATGTGTCAGTGGCACATTTTTCAGTCTCTCGGGGGAGACACACGTCTATAACTGTTCTTATTATTGAAGAGAATTGCAGGCTTGGCCGAGGTCCACAGACAGGCGAGATGGAAATGAGTCCAGTGCTGCTGGTTTTAGCTGACCCAGCTCAGACTCATGGACTGTGACAGTACAGTGATAATAACTCTGACCCAGATTGGTAATGTCTTTGAAATTGATTGTTAACATTTAATTCCGTTGATTTAATATTAACATTCATTTAACAAAAATACGCCAGTGTAATAATAAACAAATAAATGATAAATAAAAAGAGCTTCTTAAGTCGCTCTGTGTGTCTTATATCAATACTTTAGCCTGAAATCAGTGTTAATCTCTAATCAATTTCCACTGACAAAAATGAGTTAAATTTGACCTTACAAGGTTCAAAGCGCCACTTTATATCATTTCCGTGTCTTTTGAGTCTCACCACATTTATCTTGCTCACAGTTCGAAAATCAATTCCACATTTATTTTCTTTTTCTTCTTCTTCTCTTTTTGCAACGTCAGCATGTGCGTCTCGCTGCCAAAAGTTCCTGATCTCGCGGGTGGGAGAGGACTGGATCTTCCTCATTCTGCTCGGACTCCTGATGGCTCTGGTCAGCTGGGTCATGGACTACGCCATCGCCTTCTGCCAAGAAGGTAGGAGAGAGACGACGAGCCAGAAAACAACAACAGAGCGAGTTAATAAAAGAGAAAAATCATCAGGTTGTGATTGCTACTGTAAAAAAAAAAAAATATATATATATAATATATATTCAGAGGCATATGTAAGAAGCAGGGCTTTTGTTATAAACCAGACACTATTTCCTTTATTATGAACATGAAAAATGATATATTAACTATATACTTTAAAACATATATATATATTATATAAGAGAAATGTTTTTATGTGTTTTTTTCTTTGGTTGTTGTTTTTGAATTGGTTCAGTAGAACTGTGATGGAGTTATGTGTGTGTGTTTGTGTGTGTGTGTGTGTGTGTGTGTGTGCAGCACAGAAGTGGATGTACAGTGGGCTGGACAGTAACATGCTCCTGCAGTATATTGCCTGGGTCAGCTACCCTGTGGTGCTCATCACCTTCTCAGCAGGATTTACACAGATACTGTCTCCTCAGGCTGTGGGTAAGACACACACGTACACACACACACGTGGATGTGTAAAATTCCTCATTTACTAATCATTCCAACCTGGGCTTAAACCTCTGTGTTTGTGTAACAAAAATCTCCCCATTAATTAGTGCACGGTGAGGCCTGCGTGCACCTGTGCTGCTCGTCTCCTCTGGGTCACGTCGGCAGTGAAATCTATAAAATACAGCTGCGACGAGCTCTGCATACAGACATCTGCATGAATATCAATAGGCCTTGCCCTCTCACCATCCCCGCGCTCTTCACTCATTCCTACTCTTCCTCTTTGATCCTGTCGTTTTCCTCACTTTTTCTCTGCACTCCGTCATCCCACCTGACATCTCTTTCTTGTCTTTCTTTCAGGTTCAGGTATTCCCGAAATGAAGACGATACTACGAGGGGTCGTCCTGAAGGAGTATCTGACTTTCAAGACTTTTGTGGCCAAAGTCATCGGCCTGACCTGCGCTCTCGGCAGCGGGATGCCCCTCGGGAAGGAGGTTCGTGGTTTATGTCTTGTCCCCCACGGTGTTACAAATTGCATAAGATGGATAGCCTTACATTTTCAGAAATTTCCTGTGGGCTGTTAAAACTCTACCAGCATCATTTAAGTCAGGGCTGCAGAAATAAAAAGAGGGGGATTTACTGCTCCCATTCCCCAACTGGGTGCATAATAAAGTTATTTGAAGTGAGACCGAGCAAGGTATAATCATTGTACACGGTCTGAATAATGACTACTGCACTGCTTTACTCAGTGCTTAACGATCTTCTGGTCATATTTTGTCTGCTAACGTGGCTCTGCCTCTCCTGTCCTCTCTCCCAGGGCCCCTTTGTTCATGTTGCCAGTCTGTGCGCAGCTCTCCTGAGTAAATTCATGGCTGCAGTTTTCGGAGGGATTTACATGGTGAGGATCGAAACTGCAATGAAACCTTTAAAGACAGTTTCCAGTTGCCCCAAACATACAACTGAATACTACATTAAGGCTACTCGGAGTACTCTGTACTGTGACACCAACTTGACTGTTCTCTGAGACATAGAGTACCTTAGCTGGACTGGTCTGACTGAAGTCAAAGTTAAATGTTGACCTCCACTCACCTGAGACATCACTGGTCTTCTGAACGTCTTCTCTGGACAAATCTCCACGGCTCCTTCCTCCCAGTCATCACCTCCTGCACGGGCAGAGGAAGAGAGACTTCAGTGTTATGAAGAAGAAAACACGACAGCTCAGATAGAACGACTCAATATAATAGTTCAGTGTTATTTCAGTCAGCGGTTGTGTTTTGTTTGCTGATGCTCGGTTTGTATAATGAGCTGGATTTATTCCAGGAAGTGGACACAAAAGGTAACTCGCTCACTCTCCCTGGTGGAACTCATACATATTTCTCTCTCTGTTTGTGTCTTTCATTCTAACTGATGAAGGAAGAGCCCTTTGAGGGGAACAAGGTAAGAACGCTGCAGTCAGACACATTCTTTATTGCCAATTCCGTCACCATTAATAATCCATGCCGTCCATCTCAGATAGACTGACGCCGTTTCATTTGTCTGTGCTGTGTTTGATTGTGTCCAGTGAAGCGACGCTGCCGCGCATCTGATCCGTGCTTCAATACACAGACGTCTCATTCCATGATTTCAACATTCGATCTGTGTTTTCTATTATGCCCCCCCCCCTCACATCCCACCATTCATATGTGTGATCATGCTGAAGGTGAAACATTCAGAGTCAAATTACAACTGTTGTATCTGCAAGCTTTTCTTCTCATGATAAATCCATCTGTGTGTGTGTGTGTGTGTATTTGACAGAACGAGCTGAGGAACACTGAGATGCTGTCTGCCGCCTGTGCCGTCGGTGTGGGCTGCTGCTTTGCTGCACCCATCGGGGGTAAGATAACTGTAGCTGTTCGACAAACTGACAATAAACTTTGTTAACACTTCTTGTATTTGTACACATTTGCAATGTAGTAAAAAAAAAAACAGCCATAGTCGTCTGTCCTAGTCACAGGCCACAAGAATTGATTTAATTTATTTTTTAAAGTGCCACACTAATTTATTTAGGATTGGAACTGTCCAAAGTCCAAAACCCATGGGATGTAAGTCTTTTTATGTCTTTTTTATCTCAATCAGGGTTGAAGACGTTAGCATTGGGAAATATCCTTGAAATTTGAATCATTTATTATGGGTTGCTGTCAGGTTGTCTTCATTTTATGTTCCTCTGGAGCCAATTCCACCAGACGTTGCTGAAACGTGCACAGATGTTCCAACAGCTGATTTTATTAAACATTTCAACGCAGGCATTCAGGTGGCGCTCTGCCATTGAGTGCCTATAATAAAGACGACTGCTGGCTCAGATGACATTTTACATCAATGTAATTATTTGCACTGGGCAAAGTGGACCACTAGGGTGATAACTCAAGGACTAATAAATTGGTATTCACACCAGAAATAAGTGGCCTGAGAGCTCTTTAAAACGGACCAGACGTAGATTTTTCCTTAATGGCAAAAGTCATATTTGATGAAGTCATTACCAAGATTTATTGCTCTCACAGTGTGAAACACGTGGTGTTTAAGGGAATCTGACGAGTTAGCATTTTTCACACCTGAACTGATCGGATGAAACTCTGCAAGTGAAGAGGTCGCGCCCTTATTTTTAGTACGAGTCGTCGCAAAAACCTGATGTCACTCAGGACAGAAGTGACTGCTGTAACATTTGCATAAACTCATTAAAACGATGTCAGAGCAAATGTGAGCAGCAATCAAGCTGGCAGTCCTGTGGAATATTATGAGTGTGTGGCCTTTTTGGAAGGGCAACGTCGTAACAACAGGGAGTTGTATTACATCTGCGCAAACAACACTGTGAAAAGGAAAAATTCATAGCAGTAAGACAGGGATTTGTGTTATTCCATCATGCTGTGCAGACTAATTGATTAAGTGTGTGTGTGTGTGTGTGTGTGTGTGTGTGTGTTTGGTGCAGGGGTGCTGTTCAGTATTGAAGTTACGTCCACGTTTTTCGCTGTAAGAGATTACTGGAGGGGCTTCTTCGCTGCAACCTTCAGTGCTTTTATTTTCAGAGTGCTGGCAGTGTGGAACCAGGAGGAAGGTAAAACACACGACATCTTCCAGTCTCACTCACACACATGCAGAGTGATAAAAAAGGCCGGGACAAACGTACAGTAGAAAGACAACCTCAGGGGTCATAACTAGAAAATAAAAAACGTCTGTTTTTACTGCGCATCTACTGAGACCTTTGTCATCAGCTCCACTTGTCCAGTAAAAGCCCAAACTTTCTGATGAAAGGTTTTCACATGTGAATCTTTTAGTGTTTCTCACAGTTTGTTTATATTAATCACACACAACATATAGGACACAATATTTCCACATTGCACATATTTATGTCATATTTATTCACTATAGGAATTAATGATCCTTAATGGATAATCCATGTGTTTTGTTTGGTTATTTGTGTTAGTGTAATGATGTTTCATTTCAGTTATTTTATTGGTTATGTCTTTATAACCTCTAAAAATACTGTTGTTTTTTTAAAGTTTTGTGACCTCACTCTGTTTCTAATCTATTCTATAATATATTCATCTTACGTGCCGGTGACAGTGACACAGCGTTATCTCTCCTCAGAAACCATCACCGCTCTCTTCAAGACCCGTTTCCGTCTAGACTTCCCGTTTGACCTTCAGGAGCTGCCGGCGTTCGCCATTCTCGGGTGAGTCGGTTTGTCTGCTGTGGAATGACACAACATTTTAACAGATCACACAACAGTTTTCCTCCGTAAATGTCCTCAAGTAAGAATATGAATAAACTTGTAGTAATGAGTTTATGGCAAAGTGGGAAGCACTTTGACCAATCAAAGCTGAAGAACTAATTTAGTCATGAGTTGAATGGGGACTTCTGATCTGCCCCAGGAGCGTGTTCACTGAACAGGGCCCCCCGTGTCTCTGTCTGTCTGCAGGATCGCCTGTGGGTTTGGTGGCGCTCTGTTTGTCTACCTGAACCGTCACATTGTGGAGTGCATGAGGAAACAGAAGACCATAAACAAGTTCTTACTGCGGAAGTGAGTATTTGATCCGTCTTTTTCAGGTCGGTGCACCAACCTCTCTGTCTCTTCTTTCTGCACAGATCAGATCAGAATATCATCAGAATATAATCAAATGTGCACGTGCAGACTGACAAACACACTCATTAATGACCCTACAGTCCGTCTCTTCCTGTCAGGCGTCTGGTGTATCCTGCTCTCGTCACTCTGCTCGTCTCCACGCTCACGTTCCCTCCAGGATTTGGCCAGTTTATGGCTGGACAGGTGAGAAAACACTTTAAAACTTCTACGGTGGAATAAAAGTGGTCAGTAAGAAAAAAAAATATCCTCAAAAACAACATCTACCTCTTTCCTCTGTGTGATTTAGTTTAGCCAACAAAATGCCTTGGTTTCAGTATTAAATGGTAGCCAGCAGGAAGAGATGTGAGGGGACGAGGCAAACCTGTCCACTGTCTCCCTCCCCCTTCCCTCACAGCATGTGTGTGATACTCAGCAGAACACTCAGCATCAAACACGGGGACGGTCCTCCTCCCCCACATGGCCCGACATTTAAATGGGTGATACAAAACAGATTGCTGCAAATGATAGCCTTATTTATTTATTTTTTAAAGGTCTGTACTTTGAACTATCACTAGAGGTAACGGTGGTGTTGTTCTGTAAAGAGTTTGTTGTGTATGTATTGGCTGTAATGTCTGACTGAGGAGACTGTACAGCCATGTATGTCTCTATACAGCAGTTCTTTTCAAATAGTGGGGCGGGGCCCCCTGGGGTGCCAGGAGGGGCGTGAGGGGCTTCCAATGGAATATGGCACATTGGAAGTGTACCACTACTGTGATGCTTGAATCAAAGGTGGCGGTAACTCACACAGTGGTTTGTACAGATTAAACTATACATGTTATCAGGTTTTCAGTTGTATTTCAATTCCCGGGGGTGTGGGTGGGGGGGGGGGATGAAGACAATTCTGCCCCCAAGGGGGGGCATGACAGAGAAAATAACTGAGAACATAACTGGTAACATATTAAAGTTAGTATGTTACCCTGCAATGAACCAGTGAACTGTCCATGGTCCTGACCTGTAACAGCAGGGATTGGTTCTAGTTTCCCTTGTGTCTCAGAAAATAATTAAAATCCCTTTTGACAGTGCACTACCTGGACCATCTCCTGACCTTCATCAATGTACTGTTGACCTTGTCTGACCACCCACTCTAAATGTTGACCCTGTAAACCAGATGTTCATGTCACTGATCCCTTGTTTTCTGCACATAAGCTGACCCAGCACGAGTCGCTGGTCGCTCTGTTCGACAACCGTACGTGGTGCCGTCAGGGTGTCGCCGAGGAGTTTGACTACATAAGCCATCACCATGGCTGGAAACACCCCCAGGTCAACATCTTCATCACTCTAATCCTCTTCATCATCATGAAGGTAGGCCTTTAGCAGCAGTCTGAACTCTGAACATGGGCGGGGTTTTTTTTCTTAAAAAACATTATCAAATAAATATTTGTCTTCATGTTTCAGTTCTGGATGTCAGCTGTGGCCACAACTCTTCCAGTTCCATGTGGTGCTTTCATGCCTGTTTTCCTTATTGGTAAGTACAGCCCCCTTCCTCCTCTTTTTTGGGGGGGTTTGGGGACATTTTGAAACAGTTAGAGGTCAGCCAAAATGTTCTAAATAAGACTTAATTTAATAATTTAATGCTGTTGTGTTGTTTTATGGATAAACTTCAGGATCAACATGTTTGTTATTTTCCTTGTTCATAATGAATTACAGACTACTGAAAGACTAACAGACTGTCTGCCTTACCTCATCTAACTCTTTCATTTTCATCTAGTCTGACATGACACGTTTGGAGTAGGTGGAATTTCTTGGCAGGCCTGACAGTACATGAATGTGTCCTTCCATGTCAGTAAATGACTCAGTCTACTTTACCACCAATAATATATGACGTCTATTAGAATTATTATTACAGCGGGAGCAGTGACTGTTACAGACCGGCCTGGTGCAGAGGGCAGGAATAGGAGTAGCCTGTGTCCTCGATGACTACCCAGCCATGTTAAATCGGAGCTTTGCATAATCTGAATATCTATTTTACAAAGCATGTATTTTTCAAAGTCAGTTTTCGGTACTTTTAGGGGCGGTTGGCTTCAGGACTTTTGTATTTTTCTGACAAATCTTTGTGTGATGGACAGGGGCAGCATTTGGCAGACTTGTTGGAGAGATCATGGCCTCCATGTTTCCTGATGGCATTCACGCTGACGGCACCGTGTATCCCATAGTCCCTGGTGGTTATGCTGTAGTTGGTGAGCTGCTCTGAACACACACACACACACACACACACACACTGCTTTTTAATTCACTCATGCTCCAAATCTGCCTTCAATTAGTTTTAACCCACTGCGCCTCATGGTTGTTGTCTGTGTTCGTATAAAAACCGAAGTCGCAATCTAAGAGATTTCGAAAAACAAATGTTGGCAAAAATATTTTAAGCCTTTGTGCATATTTAAGGCCTCTGAAATGTTCCAAATCGGATTTTTTTTTTTTTATAAATTGCAATTCATTGTACATTCATTGTGCATCCACTAGTCCTACAGTGCACTCGATAAAACAGGTCAAGGACATCGCTTGGAATGAACTAAATCTAGGCATGAAACATTAAAAATAAAAGACAACGGTAAAAGAAAATGAAGAAAGAGAATACTCAGTGGTCTATGTTGGGACAAAGAATTTTAAGAAAAACATCTATAATAATCACATTTTAATTAAATTTGACTAAATGTTAATAATTAACTAAATAATGAAATAGGCCATGTTTCGTAAAAATGTAAGCAGTAACTTCAGAGTCAGAGCTGTTGAAAAACTCACCAAACCTCTGGTTTCTCAATGACCTTTCCTCCTGCTCCTCAGGGGCTGCAGCTCTGTCTGGAGCGGTCACCCACACTGTATCCACGTCAGTCATTGTTTTTGAGCTGACCGGTCAGATCTCCCATATTCTGCCTGTGATGATCGCGGTCATTCTGGCCAACGCCGTGGCCCAGTCGCTCCAACCATCACTGTACGACTCCATCATCCGCATCAAGAAGCTTCCCTATCTGCCGGAGCTGGGAATGGGGCATCATGAGTGAGTCGGTTTGTCCAACCACGACGATGTGTTTGTCTCTTCTTTCTTCATAATTTTTGGTCACTTGATCTCTATCGCCCACGTCTCAGGAAGTACAATATCCGTGTGGAGGACATAATGGTGCGAGACTTGCGCTACATCACTCTTAACTCCTCGTATCGTGATCTGCAGGAGGTGCTGCTGACGAGTCAGCTCAAAACGCTGGCGCTGGTGGAATCCAGAGGTGAGTTAATGCAATAGAAGGACATTCACTTTTTATTACATGAACTTATTCACAGATGTAAAAACTAAAGTAAATGTTAATATATTATTAATGTAAATATATTCTTGTAAATGTGTTTCTGTTCTGTTTTTCACAGCTGTTACCTTTGTTTTCTCCCCCACTGTAGAATCCATGATTCTGCTGGGCTCCATAGAGCGACTGCAGCTCCAGTCTCTGCTTTCTCTTCAGCTGGGACGCCAGAGGAGGCTGGAGTACCTCTGCCAGCTGGCCCAGGACAACGGCACCAATGACCACCTGTCCAGCCTGACCACCGACAGCACACCCAGCTCGCCCTGTGCCCACACCGCACATGCAAACACCTCCACCAGCGCTCGCCAAGTGGTCCGCTTCCTGGTGAGCACCCAACAGGTGTGAGGCGTCCGGGGGCGCCAGGGCTGGGTGGGGCTGGGGCAGGGGGCAGAGTCTGGCATGGGTTTGGCCATAGCAGTATGATAATAATAATAGACAGCATGTGCGCAGCATGGAGCAGTAGGTAAAGGCACGGATTGAATTTATTAGCAGCTTGTGTGGTAAGTGTTTGAGAAAAATGAAAAAAAACAAATGTCTTATTTGCACTGTTCCATAAACACGTGTCTTCTGTTTCTCTGTTGTCTGTGCCATTACCTGTTGTCTTGTTTATGTGCATGTGCTCGCATGTGTGTGTGTTTCTGTGTGTCTTCCTCTGTTAATATTGTTTCCATACAGATCTCCACAGAGGAGTCGTCCACCTTCAGTCCAGTGGCTTCAAATGTGCAGCTCCCTCTGAAATCAGCCTTGAAGACTGTGTCTGCCATCAGTGACACCGAGACACCAAACAGTAAGTACTGACACTGACACATGAATACTCATGGATTTAACATATATTTCTATATGTGTGTGTTCATATATCTAAAGTTACAATTCTAGCCGAATTCCACAAAAAACTGACTCCTGCTTTCTTTCTGAGGTTCTCAGACTCTTTCCTGTGCCGACCAAGACAGAGAGCTGCTGGAGGTGAGCACCTTAGTCCGGACAGAATATAAATATCAGAACATGAGAGAACCTGCATATGTTTATTATGAAAATGTGAGGTTTATTAAAGGTATGCATGCTATCTATAAGTCCATATACAGGCAGCCTCCCGCTGTTACAGCTGACAGTCAGAGTCCACCCACAGGCAGCAGTGACATCTCCTGCTGTGGCTCGACAGTAGATTTATAGCGTTGAATGTTTTCTGAGAGTCATTATTCCCATCACTGCAGCACAGCGACAGAAACCCACTGGACAAGGGTTTGAAACGTCAATCATTTTAGCATTTTGGTTCAAAACAATTCAGCAAATGCCCAAGTTTTTAAGCTTTATGCAACAAAAAAGGACACATTGGGGCCACACAGTGGCAGAGTGGTGTGTGTGTGTGTATGATATCTCATACTCAAGTTTCACACAAATTCAAAAACAGGACAGATTAATGCTTTAATTACGTTAATTCATTTGTGACGATTAATCTGATTAAAATCTGGTCCCATTTCAAGACATAACACCTTAAGGCACAAAACTAAAATGTATGAGTTTCAACGCCTTTAAATCCATCATCCAGTGTTGCTACGCCTCTGGGTTTGTCGTGCTGTCACTGTCATCTGAGCTACAGTAATTATCAGCTTTCACCAACACCGTGCTCACGTCACACACGCTTCTCCCAGTTGAAGCCCAGACTGAGGTGCAGTGTTACAGCTGCAGCAGAAAAAATGGTGTAAAAAAAGATGTTTTCACTGATGTTGTCTTCATGCTGTGTTGTGTTGTGTTATGTTCCGTTGTGTTGCATTGACACCTCCTCTCCTCATCTGGAAGAGTCCGGCTGGGCCGGCTCCTCCTGATCAAAGAGCGACCAGGCCCAAAAGAGTGAGGATCTCCATGGCGGTAAGACAGTCCGCCGCCTAGAAACTGTTGCTTGGTAACCGTTGCCTTGCAACACTCAAAGTGTGAGTGCTGGACCAAACTGTTTGTGGTGCAACGAGGGATTGGGAGTTTGGGTGGCTTTGAAGAGATAAAGTGTGTCGATATGAGAAAGAGAAAGTCTGGTTGTTTTGCCGTCCAACCAATTGTTTGATCAGCTTTCACTTGACACTGTTGTTAAAGTCTGGTCTGCACATTGTTGTTGTTGTTTTTTTACCAAACACCGGGACATTTTGTGACATTAGACACAACTCTTCCACCTCTTGGTCTAAGTTAGAGTCCAATGAAAACTGGGCATAAACACAATTGTACCAACGTCCAAACAAACTAAATACTGTACAGGGAAAAAAAAGACGTCTTTTTGTCCTGACACTCCTAACCAGGAACAAGTCTAAACTAATTAACATTTCCTATTGCTTCAAAGTCCAAGCCGCATAAAGCTAAAATAAAATCACTGTGTAATCAGTGTAATTTATGATCTCCAACCATGACACTTAGTTTACCATCTTTAACTAATCTTAAACTTAATTTACATAACTTAATCTTAACCTTCATTTACTTCATTCCACCTTATAATTTGAACCTCAGTCACTGAAAACAGTCTCTCACATATTTCTTTACATTTCGTTACATCAAGGTGTTAACCTTTCACGTGGCACTGTACAAACTGTGTTTATGCAGTATTACTTTGTCTGCTCTTCTGTTAATTATAATATAACACTTTCTCTAGGACTCTACTGAAGTTGAGGACTGCATGACTCCCTCGGAGGTCAGACTCTTAAAAAAGAATAAATATATATCTACTGTAGATAGAAAGCATTTATTTCAATTTTTTTTTTCTTCTTGTCATTTCCCAGATAGCAGAGTGGGAAGAGCAGCAGCTGGATCTGCCAGTGGATTTTAAAAACTGCAAGATAGATCCTGCACCTTTCCAGCTGGTGGAGCAAACATCTCTGCACAAGGTCAAATGAAAACAGAACAAACCTCTTAGACCTTTAATGAGTTCATAAAGCTCTTTACAAACAAGGAGTGGCCCCGGGGATGATAGCTTTGTGCTGAGCTTAGTGATTAAAAATCATCTTCAAATTAGAAGTAACTGTTGTCCGTGCGAGACAACAGATGATTTAGGCTTGTCCCCATTTAGAGATAAATGATACTGTGTAAAGATCGAGGGAGTCAATCTAAAGGACATTATTATTCATAAGGTGGTTTGTTAGTGCTTGTCTTACCTGGCAGTCTGGTGCGTCATTAGGAGTAGAACGGGACAGCTGCAGCTCTCCTGAACGGAGTGGTGAAGTTCTCAGAGCTCTAGTAAAGAAAGGAAATTTCAAGAATGGGTTTTCAGTTTTCACAAACCTGAAAAGTCTCATTAAAAGTAAAGGGATATGACCCAGAAGTGAACTTTACCCTTTTAAACTGAGTGGTCACACTAGATCAATAAACTAATCCAGGTTCAAGTCTAAAGAAAGATTGATAAAAAAGGAATCTGTATTCTGTCGTCTTTCACAGACTCACACCATCTTCTCTCTGTTGGGTCTGGATCACGCCTACGTGACCAGCATGGGTCGTCTGGTGGGCGTGGTCTCTCTCAAAGAGGTGGGATCCTTTCGGTTGTTCAGATATTATTGATAATGTTTGGAAATAATAATATATATTTTTTGTTTGTTTGTTTGTTTGTTTGTTTGTTTGTTTGTTTGTTTGTTTGTTTGTTTGTTTGTTTGTTTGTTTGTTTGTTTGTTTGTTTGTTTGTTTGTTTGTTTGTTTGTTTGTTTGTTTGTTTGTTTGTTTGTTTGTTTGTTTGTTTGTTTGTTTGTTTGTTTGTTTGTTTGTTTGTTTGTTTGTTTGTTTGTTTGTTTGTTTGTTTGTTTGTTTGTTTGTTTGTTTGTTTGTTTGTTTGTTTGTTTGTTTGTTTGTTTGTTTGTTTGTTTGTTTGTTTGTTTGTTTGTTTGTTTGTTTGTTTGTTTGTTTGTTTGTTTGTTTGTTTGTTTGTTTGTTTGTTTGTTTGTTTGTTTGTTTGTTTGTTTGTTTGTTTGTTTGTTTGTTTGTTTGTTTGTTTGTTTGTTTGTTTGTTTGTTTGTTTGTTTGTTTGTTTGTTTGTTTGTTTGTTTGTTTGTTTGTTTGTTTGTTTGTTTGTTTGTTTGTTTTCAGCTTCGTAAAGCCATTGAAGGATCTGTGATTGTGACGGGAGTGAAAGTACGCCCCCCACTGGCCAGTTTTAGAGACAGCGGTAACAGTACAAGCGTGTCCGAAGTGACTGAATTGCACAAGCTGTGCATCCGCCACCGGGGGCTGACTTTGCCCCGGGAATTAAACCGCCGTGACGTGGAGGACAAGGCCGACCTGGCCTACAAGGAGATCCCTGTGAACTTCTCTGACCAAACCAATTTGCAGTTAGAAACCGGTGGCATTTCCAGTCAGTCGACGGAGCTGGTGCTGCAGGAGAGTCCGTCCTTCACTGAGGACCCTTCAGAGTTCACTTTTGACTGCAGCCCCTCCCACACGGAGGAATCAGAGCTGGGCTGTGACGATGACCCCCAGACCCAAACTGCAGAGCAGGAAGAAGGGGAGCAACAACAGGGCAGCCCATGTCTGAATGAGGACCAATCAGAACCTGAGGGGGAGGGTTGCCCCGCCCACACAGAGAAGCATACAGAATGATCTGTGCCAACCAGTTGTCTCCTGAATGTTGACTTTTAATACATGAGTAGAGGGTGCAGTCACCTCTATGTCCAGCCTGGAAAGACTTGTGAGTGAGTGAGTGAGGGGGGGGAGGGAGAGAGAGAGAGAGAGAGAGAGAGAGATTTAGTTTTGTTTGTTTCAGACAGTGTGGATGTCAGTTTTATGGGTTTATTTTGTATTTGAGCTTTAAATTTTGTCAACAAATCCAATAAGAGGACCAAAGGGCATTCTATTGTCATACCTGACAGAACTAATTGTAATAATTAATTAATAATGATTAGTATGACATTTGTGCAACTTCTGGGTGTAGTATATGTGGCCCCCATATACTGTACACACACACTTTGGTTTTTCTGCCCAACACAAAAGACCAGGTGCAGGAAGTTTATTCACAAGCTCCACACTAACATTCATCCAACTCACAGAGAGACAGGGTCAGGCAGGAACAGAAGGAATTGAACCGTCGTCACAGGAACCAGCAGGACTCTTCTATGACCAACATACAGCAACCCAGCACAGACTGAGTAAGGGAGAGAGGTGTATATGCCCAGGGCACCAGGTGAGACGAGTGAGACTAATGAACAGGGCAACAAGTGAGCCTCATGATACTAATTAGCCCAGAAGGGCAGAGAGGCAGACAGACCTGCTCATCAGAGACAGACTGTAGCTGAATGGAATGTCTATTAGTACAGACCTGTATTAACCTGAGCGCTGTGTGATTGATTCCAGACTCAGTGGAACTTTAATCTCAGTAGGCTGATGGCAAAACTGATGGATTCCTGTGTTTTGTTTTGTTTTTTCAATATTCGTAGAAATCCATGGTGTCGGAGGGGAAAAAAATCCACATTTTAATCATTTGTTGAAAAGTAAAACAGCTCTGGTCTTTTAATATTATTTTGTGACAATAAGAAGTTAGAAACATACCCAAATGTTTGTGTGGTTGTGAATACAACAATGTGTGTGTGTATGTGCCATACCGGAAACATTTCCAGTCTTTGAGACATAATTTTCCAACAACAAACAATATGACTCCAGGTGGTTTTAATGAAATGAGGTTAATTTTAAAAATAGAAAATAAAAGCACAGATGACCCAAAAAAAAACAAAAAACACTGGAAGCACACGATGCTCCTGTTTTCTACAAAATAAGAAACCCTTACTGAGCAGAAGGTCTATGATGTGGACTTTCTGAATGATAATAAACTGGTGTTACAGTGTATGAGACTGTGGAGCACATTTACTGATGTGAGTAACGAGTGTTTTCATCAGTACATCTACGTCACTGCCAAAGACTGATTTCTGGGAAACTCATTTTCAGAGAAACTGATGAAATGACGATGAAAACAATGTGCAAAAAATACTGACAATTTATTTGTTAATGCACCTCAACTTTAATTTAATTTGGTAAATGGAAAGTGGAAAGTGGAATGTTACAGTTTGTTCTGTTCATTATGTTATTTATTGGAACCTGACTGTCCAAACACTGCACATGCATTCTGGTTTAACTTCAGCTGCTCAACAATTGTCATGTGATCGTTGTGGTCAGATGCTGCACTTTCTGATGCAGCTGACCTTTTTAACCAGGAGATAAATCAGGGCCGCAGACGGACCAGTCGAACAGACCACTGTACCTAAAGCCACATACTTGTACAGAATGAAGTCTGAAGTTCCCGTGCTGTGAAATCACAGACATCTTCACAGGAGCATATGTCTCTAAAATTAAAAATGTCATTGTCAATACAGCGTAGTCACAAACTCTAAATCGTGTAATTCACTATGATTTGGACAAGCAGTTTCTGGAAATGAGTTCTGTACATCACATATAGTCTTGGATCAGCTGGGCTTCATCCACTCACCACCTCATCACACACCAAAGGCAGCTTGAGTTGAGGCCACACAGGTCGGTGCAGGGCTGCACTGCACGCTGAAGCACATTGTAATTACCATGGCTGTAATTTACCGCACAATGGCTTTTAAGGGGTAAATACCTGTGAGAACTGGAGGCAGTCCTTCATTAAAGCAGCTCCTACATCTTCTGCTGTGTTAATTTGCTGTGTTTAATGTGTTTCCTGGATCACTAATGGCGTTTCCGCACTCCCTGTCAACCTCTGTGAAGAACAGCACGGTGGTTCAGTGTATTTTGGTGGATATGTAAACAAGCCAAACCTGTCACTGAAAATTCTCTCAAGTAGACAAAGCAAACCAATCAGAAGGCTTAGCTCAAATGATAATTCGGTGCATCATGGACACAAAGTGGACCATACTGTAACCTCCAGGTGTTGATCTAGACTAGTGTTTCCCAAACCTTTTTTCCCCAGTCTTTGGGAAACAGTGGTCTTGACAGGTCATCTGACTGATATTGTCTCAGAAAACAAAATGGAACAACCAGTCATATTCTCTGCTCTGACCCTCAGACCTACAGTGATCTTTAGATCATTTTGAATTGGATTTTTAATGAAAAGATCACAGGTCTGATGATGCTCCTAAAAGTCAAGATTTCTAATGTCAGTCACATTCAAACCAATTGGGCCACGAGACAGTCTCAACTTTTTTGGCCCAGATTCAGGATATCAAATGTGGGCCAATAATGACTCTTAATTCGTTGCTGTATGTGGGCCAAGAAAAATAGGTTAGGTGGCCTGTTGCTCCAGTTGAAGAGAGCACACAAACACATGTGTCATGCACACACACACACAAGCACTGAACATCACATGGCACCAATGCAGTGATGATAACTGTAACTACATTATGAAGCACAGGAGTGAGACACAAGTCCAGAAACTGTTGTTGAGCTGCAAGTTTAAGTGAGTGTGTGTGTGTGTGTGTGTGTGTGTGTTAATGTGTGAGAGACATAGATAGAGTGAGTCCTTGTTAGCATTTTTAGCTTCATGTGATGATTTTAAGCCGTATTTAAATCTGATTTGGTCTCAGTGCGGCGTTCCATTTCTGGCTCATTTTTCTGTCTGTGTAAAAAAAGAAAAAAAAACATTGTGCAATGACCTACTGACCTCGTTTTATTTTGTTTGCCTATTAAAATGTGAACTCGTGCTTGTCATTGAATGTATAAAGTTAAACGTGGAGTGTTAAAAGCGAATCTGCAGCGTATCTAGTTAAGCAATAAGTCTGTAGTATTTCCCTTTATACGACACTGGTCTGTACATGCTTTGTATATATGACAATACACATGATATTTAAATACGCATTGTGTACAGAGGAGAATTATGCATTTGAAATTCAACAGCCATCGTTATTTTTCAGAGGACACTTTGTACATGAGTGAGTGATTAAACTGAGGAGAAACACCTTTTCAGAGACGAGTGGGTTTTTTACTTTTGTTTGTGCAAAAAATACGAGAAATACCAACAAGAGTTTTGTCCAAAAATGATTATATTTACTGTGTATTTGAAGACATTCACACAACCAGTATCAAACATGGCCTGACCAGCATGACACAGCATGACCCAGAATAAAACAACACTACAAAACGTCCATAGAAAACCAATGCAATAGCAACACGCACAACACACTCTTCACGAGGAAATGTACAAAAACTCATTTTTGAACAACAGCTTTACATTCAGATTGACTTTTCCATTATATTTCATGTCTACAGCAGCAATAAAACAATGGATCAGGATTGGAATGTGAAAGGTCTGGAGGCTGAGGCAGTGAGAAGAGGAGGAAAGATGAGAGGAAGAGATGATTTCATAACCAGAATCACCACAGACTTAAAGACACAGAACTGTGAGCAACACATCACATCAAATATTCTTTTTCTTCTTTCTTCTCCTCCATTTCATCCCTTTCCTCCTCCTCGTCAAACGAAGCCACTCCAGAAGAAGCCCGGTCAGAGAAGAAGCTTCTGTATTGCCACAGCCGCACCTCCTGGAACACGCTGCCTTCCTCATCCTCATCCTCCTCTTCCTCTTCTCCAGGAGACTCGGAGTGGGAGGTGGAATAGCAGGAGTCAAACCTGCCGCTCCGACACGGGGGTTTCCACTCTTGCTTGTGCGGAGGGCAAACCTGATGGTGCTGCTGCTCCTCCACTGAGGCTGCCCGCTGCCCCCGGCCGTCCAGCCTCAACTCTCCTTCCAGGAATGGACTGAGACAGTCGCCGGGGGAAATGGGAGAATTGGTCTGGGATGATGGTGGGTCAATGTATGATGCTGGGATGCCACTGCTGCTGCCACTGCTGCTGCCATTGCTGCTGCTGCTACTCGAGCCCAAGCAACTGTCAGAGGGTCGTGTCTCACTGCTGTCCACGTCAGACTGGCATGGCACTCCGGTGATAGGATTGGATGTTAGGGTGTCTGAGGGAGGAGCAAACAGTCAGACCACCTGGGGATGGATGGAGGGATGGGATTGGATGGGTGGATGGATGGATGGAAGACAAGGCCTTCTGTCAGGGATCACATATCATGGACGATGACATGAAGTGACCAATGTGGACACATGTATGGTCACCTGATCTCTGGTAGCAGAAGGTGTGAGTTTGTTCGTTGCTGTGTAAGTCTTCATCGTTGGAGTCTTCTTCATCGTCATCATCCAGAGACGCCCAGGCACGAAGCTTGGCTTCAGCGATGGCAAACTGCTCAGCCACACCTGAAGGCAACAGCAACTTTCAAGCATGTTTCATGTTTGAATATGAATTTATTTTCATTCTTGAATAATCTGACAGTTTTTGTAGTGAAAGCAGAAATGAAATGCAGCAGCTATGGTCACATTGGACGTAGAAAGCAAAAATATCATTTGTTTTGTGTCTCATCAGACAGGACGACAATCCCAGAATAAACCTTTTCGATCAGAAAAACTCTGTGAATTTATGAGTTTGTCGATATGTAGCAAAGCAGGCTGGAGGAAAAGTGCCACTGTGATTCATACCTGTATTTGTTTCAGTATTGACTTTGCTGCTGAACATTTTGTGTCTCATGGATTTTTATCCTGTTTTGTTTCAATCATCATGATGTGCCAGACTGGTGCAGGGATTTACAATGACTTTGAGGGAAACCAAGAAAAATGTTCTCATGATAAACGATACATTTATATTTGATTAAATGTCAGTGTTGCAAAATGTATTTAATAAACAAAATAATGTAATTAGATCATTGAATAAAATTAGGGCATTTTCTTCAACAACGGATGTAAACTAATAATCATTTTGCCTTCTTTCTCATTCACGTCGTGTTAAAGCTGTAAATCTTCACAAACTTATGTGATGCTGACATTATTTTCTTCATCTCCCTCTCTCTCTGATCAAACCACATGGATGTCACTGGTGCCAGAGAGGATGAGTCACAGCAGAACAACAAGAGCTGCTGTACCACTGGTGGGCAGTGAAGTGTTTTGAGGAGAGTGTCTAATAGGCCGTCATCTGCTGCCAAGAAAAGCCATCACCTCAGAGACAGCCGAGGAGGCGGAGCAGACCGCTGACACATACAAGTTTTAGAGGATTAGCGGCGTGACAGAGGGTGGGAATTAGAGACTGTGCTTGACGTTTGCTAAGTAAGAGGATACAGATGCCCACACAGGTAGAAGAGGACATTATTTTTCTAAATGGCTGCTTCAGAGGTGTTTCACGGACATTAGGAACCATTTCCAAAGGATTTAGGCCAAAGTTGGTCATCTCTGCACTAGGTCTCTGCCAGTTTCCTCCAAATAAACATTTAAGATCTTTTTAATTCAACCAAAGCATCAGGTTTAATAACAACAGCACATCGGTACAACCCGGTAATTTTTTGAGTTGGCATTTAGTCGGGCCGTTTGTTTTTTTAAAGTAAGCGAGCTGGAATTAGTTCAATGTCCTGCAGGATATCGCTGAGTTGTTAGCATGACAGATGTACTATTGGAATGCTGAAGCGTGATGAAAGAGGAAAATTTTGACTGACCAGGACCCATATTTTTGAACAACAAACTAATTTAAATGTAAAATGTACCACAGGGAGTATACATAGGTTGCTGTGAAAATTCATCAGAATAACAGTGACAGTAAGCAAAACTTTGTCACCATTTGATCCACTTCTGGACAACTCTCCATTGATTTCAACTATTTATAAGAAAGAAAATCAAAATTTTTAATAAGAAATTAATGGATTTTAATGCTAACGTTGATCTAGGGGTAATAAAATTATATAGGTCCGGGTTTGTTTATTATTGTAGATGTCCACTGGTTTGTCACGCAGCCTGTACAGTCAAGGCTTCATTATAATCTACTGGTGTCTGGTCCTTCTACTGTCAATGTTAGAGTGTCAAATGTAAATGGTTATTAGAACCCATAGCTGAGGATTAGAGAAGGTCCCAGTTCTCCTAACCTGCAGCAAAGCGAGCCTCCTTCTCTCCTTCTGTCAGATGGCAGTAAGAGCTGAAGTGCGAGTGCGCAGTGGGTGGAGGGTCTGCAGGTTTGGGCCAACCTTTCCACTCTATGAGGTGGGCCACCCTGCCCTGGGCCAGGGAGGTTGGCTTCGTCACATGGTCCTTGACCACCTGTGAGATACCTGTGGTCGGATGGACACGAAAGTGGACATTAAAATTATGTATAAGAAATTGATGTAAATTACTCACGGTAGTTTTACCATTTAAGGACGATCTGGCCAGTGCTGCAAACTCATGGATTCCGACGCTTTTCCGCGAGTCTGCCGGAGATTTTCCTGACTTGGGGATCATTTCAATCTCCTCAAATTTCACCTGCAACAGGGACAACTGTTTTGGTTTGTTCATCAGGACAAGAAAATAAATGAAAGAAATGAAAGAAATAATCAAACTCCAGATTCGAAATGATCAAGACCTTGCATCTATTTTAAATATTCCTCTTTCTACCTCATAGTCCCTTGGTCTTCCCCTTCCTTCTCTACTCCTGGACCTCAGCTTCATCGTGGACATGCAGAGACAGTATCGCTGCACACCAAACTCTTTTGACTATTTGTTTGGATCATCGGGCAGATGAGCAAACAGCCACGCCCTGAACAGGGTGCACAGATGCTAAAGCCAGTGTAAGCTGGTGAAACCATTAAAAAGTTGTAGGGTTGGAGGAGGTCAGGCCTGTGGTCAAACACATGACATGTGAGCAGCTTGTGTAAACAGCCTCACTCACAAATCTGCTGATCCTTATTTAAAAGAATAAATAATAATAATAAAAAACACTTCAAACTGCATTTCCAACACAAATACAGCTTTGGTCACAGATCTTCAAAAAGTCTTTGTCTGACGCACATTGAGTGTTTTCAAATATGACTTGTTTCTGAAATGACGTGAAACGTGACCGTGCTCCACTCTGCATGTGCTGAAAGTGTTGTAAATCCCTAAGCAGATTTGCACCTGAGGAAAGCAGCTAATAAACAGGAGGCTCCTGCAGAAGGAGGGCAAAAGGCTTATAGTGAAGTCAGAAATGACACTGAAAGTGTGTCAGAGGCAAACAGGGTCTGGAAGGTGGAGATATGACGGCGTGAACATCGCCGACAGCCTCTCTGACGTAGTTCTTTTAGTATTTAACCTTAAAGCTGCACATTAAGAAGAAGCTGTGCAGATCTCACTGCAGCTCAGGATAAACACCACGGACTGTGTGGTGTTCATCATAATTGCAGTTTTACTTGAAGAGACTTTCCTGAGCAGTCTGATGTAGACAAACTTTTATTATCTCTACAGCCCTTTATACACTGCAAATGACAACAGACTAGGGATTAAGTAATAACTAAAAGTTAGACAAAATTATATTGCATAGTGTGATACATTAAAAAGCTCTTGAGACATATTACAGACTCCAGACCCTGCAGTAAAATAATTTACAGTATTAAAAAAAAAAAAACTCAGGTTGACATAAAACCTGGCTGACAGCCATGATCTGTTTGATCCACACGCTCAGATGTTTGACCCTTTACATCGCCTCTCCCAGCAGCAGCAGCAGCAGCATCTTGTTGTCTGGATTGAACAAGATGTGAGGGATGATGATGCTGTGGTGAAGCCCTTACATCCAACAAGTGGGGCTGAGAAAATACCGTATCTGCTGAGCCAGAGAGGGCACAGTCTAAATAAGTGTAGGGGAGTATTTATTATTAATTATTATTATTGTTACTATTAAAATGTGTGGGTTAAGTCTGTTGCAGTGACATTACCATCACCATCACCGTCGACGCGCCATTGATGCGTTAAGGCCTGTAGCCTGCAATTATAGCGCAGAGAGGGATGCTGCTGCAGCCGCATCAACATAGCGACATCATCTCCTCCATCGTCCGCATTATCATAATCATCATCACTGCTCTTTAACCATTCACCTTGGCACCTATGCTCGTTGCGCTCTTCCTACCTGTCAGCCTCAGCGCGGCAGCTCATGGTAATTTGCTGATAATCTTCAGTCTTTAATCCGATCAACAGATGACAGCGCTCAGCTCGTCCCGTCGCTGCAGCCTCAGTGACGCTCTGTGAGCCTCAGCGATGCTGCAGCATCCTCGGCAGCTGAATTCACGTCTTTGGAGCTTCTCCTCAACTCCAGCACCATTTGTTGCTCCCTGCGTGGGTTAATACGCACAGCGTGTCAAAAAAAAAAAAAAAAAAAATCTCCCGATGTTTCGCGTCATCAATGTAAGGCGGTGTCACATCCTCCTCGTCTCTCTGCTCCTCCTCCCGCTCCCTTCTCCTCGAAGAAGCAATCATCAAGAAAAGGCTGCCTGGAGTTCATCATGTTCAGCTTCTCATCATCTCATCATTTCACTCTAACCCATCAGCAATCCAGATTTCTGTCAATGAACCTGGCTGGTCAAAGGGCCAGGTTCATTGACAGAAATCAGCTGCAGTCTCATTAACCCCCATTTGTTGCCCCCGGCGGGGGTTAATACCCCCAGGGGGGCAAAAAAAAAAAAAAAAAAAAATCTCCCGATGTTTCGCGTCATCAATGTAAGGCGGTGTCACATCCTCCTCGTCTCTCTGCTCCTCCTCCCGCTCCCTTCTCCTCGAAGAAGCAATCATCAAGAAAAGGCTGCCTGGAGTTCATCATGTTCAGCTTCTCATCATCTCATCATTTCACTCTAACCCATCAGCAATCCAGATTTCTGTCAATGAACCTGGCTGGTCAAAGGGCCAGGTTCATTGACAGAAATCAGCTGCAGTCTCATTAAAAACAACAACAATAATAATAATAATTTTAAAAAACTGCATCATTTACATTTTGAACCTGATTTGTTCTTTACAGACTGGCTGCCCACAAAGGCCTCTCATACAACTACTGCAGGTTAAACCAATCAAACTAATTATACAGTTTACTGTTTATCAGAGTTAGCAGACTCTGACATGCCTCAAAAGACAACTGCTGTACATGTTGAAAGTAAGTTCTGTTGGTGAAAGATGGAAGTATAGAACAGGTGTAGTAGGGGAACACAGTATTTCACAAGGAAACAGTCAATATGACAGCACGTTCTGTCATGTCTCCAAAATGTACCTGTGTAAAATGTCAGAAAAATTGCTAGTAATTCCATGCATAGTATATATATATATATATATATATATATATATAAATGCTGCTCTTGAATATCCGTGAAATTTAACACACACTATGATGTGGACAATTTTCCTTTTTCCTTTTGAAAATGTATAGCCATGATTGAACCCTGTTGGCCGTTTCTGGCCCTAGTCTAGATTCTAGACTGATGAAAGTTATACTTCCACAGGCTGTCCCCTAATACTGCTAATTAGACAATATCAGACATTTCTGATATTTTCTCTGACTTGGTGAAATCAGAATGACAAATTAAAACCCAGACAAAGTCAATGATGAATGTAAAGGATACACTATTGACATCTCACCAGCATGCACACACCAACCTATAAAACATCAAAACACTGCTCAGCAACTTAGTAAGTCCTTTATTTGCAATGTTCCATCTTTCCAGTTTCAGATGCAAATGAAGCAATAATTTCTTAAATAAAGAAAGCAAAAAAAAAGAAAAAAATATTTACAAAATTCCAATAAAACTAATAATCAGTGGATTATCTAAAGCACCTCTCTGCATCTGAACATCTGCTGTTGGAAAAAGGATACACTACAATTATATCAGCAATTTGTTTCTGAAAAATAAAACTGGAAAAAAGGTTTTTGTATTATATATTTACAGAACGCTCCTGAAATGAGTTTCCACTTACAGTAGAAAAGGCTTCCGGATCATTTCTGTGTTTTTTTTTTTTTTTTTTCTTTTTTTTTTCACTTTTATATATATATATTTAATCAAGTCAATTTTCTGTAGATTTCAAGTTTTGACGGTGGGGACGCGGTCATTAGGTGTCCTCTACGACAGCTTAAAAAGACAAGGGTGAGGATCTGGTCATGTGCTTCACTACCAGGGCTGGGTGAGGATGGCTTAGAGGAAGCATTATAGGACCACAGCCCCGAGTAGTCAAGGTCAATGTTAGTCCTCCGTCTTTGTCAGTGTCAGTTCATGATGGAAAACAGGATAAGAGAAAAGCTTAAAAAACCTGTCAAATGAATGTTGGTTAATGTAGTTTGTCAGACACAATTTCATCCTTCAAAATTTAAAAGACACTTCAGTCATGCTGCACACTCCAGTCACGAACAAAGACATATGAGAAATGTTTGCTCTAAACACCCATTATGGCAAAAATGACACCCACGTAACCAGAGAGTCCACTGGACCACAGGCTCCGTTGCTTATTTTCAGTGGACAGAGAATGTTGGACATCATATTAATCTTGGGAAAAAAACAAAACTGCACCATCTTTTTTTTTGTTGGGGTCATGGGAAACTTCACACCAAAACAACACATTCTTTTCATCACAGTGTGTTAGGTGTTCAGTTAAAGTTACTTCTCTGTTTTTTATGAATAAAGACCGGCAGTTAAGATTTTGGACTTTAAATGGGTAGATTCTAAACATTTGCATCTTTTGTGACTGATTTTGACTTGCTGTGACAAGCAGGAGAGGGGAAAGAGAGGGTAGAGAAACATGATTGTTGGAGTCCACCGCTTCAAGGAGAAAAAAAAAGAAAAGAAACAAAACAAAAAAGAAAAAGTTTTATCCTCACTGAGGATTGATTTGAGCCTGCCTCTGTGGCAATATTGTCCCCGCCTCACCACAGGGGGGCAGCAGTCAGTATGCTCTTTTTTTATGTTTTTTTTTTTTTTTTTAGTCTTTATCAGACTCCTCTTCTGCCTCCCGGAGCCAGGTGAAAAAGGCTGTGACAGATTTCAAGGCCACACCTTTTCCCGTCTGCTCTGCAGGGTCTTTGCTGGACTCCCACTTGTAGAAGGCCTCCTCTTTAATAACATCCTCGTCGTACAAGGCATCGAAGAACATCCGCAGCAAGTCTGCAGAGATACACAAATAAAAGTAAGTAATAACTCCAATTATGGTGGGAAAAAACAGTTTATATCTACAAATATACATAATAAAAAAAGTTGCTCGTCTGTTTTGCTAAATAGTTCGCCACTTGTCAGGGATGAGACTCACTGACGTAACGTGTAGTGAATATAAAAAAAAGGTGGCCCTGATTCAGACATAAATCTTCTACTGCTTAATACTAAACTAAGTTAGAGTAATTCCCAGTAGCCATCAGGGCAGAGCATATAGTCCAGGACATATTAAGCCTGATGTACTGCATGAACACTAACACTTCACCCCCAGCAGGACACTCACTTGCAGGTTGCTCCATGTGCACCATCAGAGCCTGGAGGGCGTACAGGGCCTGCAGCTCCTTCTGCTCATCACACAGGTATTTCTGCAGCAGACTGGCTCTCTGGTTGATCTGACGTGGGTCCAATTTGTATGGGTTGTCACCTATGACATTCAGGAACAAACACTTGTTCAGGGGTATTGCAATTTTGAACCATGTTATGTCATATTGGCTTATGAGTGAAACAAACAAAGGACACATTTGTGTTGCTGCTTTTTCTATACGTCATACTCACATATGATGGCGGACTGACACACTGATGTCATCAACGCTCGTACAAAAGGGTTGGAGGCAGATTGCTGTTCATCCAAATTAGCCTGTGGGAAAAACATTAGGTGATTAAGTTTTCAAACCACTCTACAGATGTTTATTTACTCAATTTGTTTATGGTTACATGTTTGATTTGGAGAGCTTTGGTTCAGTAGCTGGATCACATGTAACAGTGTTTAGATAAATTATCAAATTTTTGCAGCGACTCATGATGACACGTGCAAAAAACTGTTCCACAAAAACTATGTGTACTGTTACACACCTCAACCCAGTCCCTGATGCGCTGGTTGCTGGCTTTGTCCAGCAGTAGTCTGTCTATATGCTTGGTGAGCTCTGGTCCACTGAAGAACTTCTTCTTACCCACATTGGTCGATTCTGCATCTTCTCCAATGGTAAAATCTACTTTCTGAAAGACATCAATACAGAATTTACATTACTATTGTGATGGAACTATAAAGCATGGAAATTAGAATACAGAGAAGTTAATTTCTTCATATTTTCATTCATATTACAGAGAAGACGGCAGTGATCTGTACAAAATCAGATCATCATCATGGAAAAAATTCAATGTGAACCTTTTGCATTGCCATGCTTTTTGTAAGACCAGTTTCTTGTGCTCTGTGTGAAATCCAGTTAAGAGTTGATCTCCCACAGATCTACTAATCTGAGTGGAACATAATCTAGTACTGGTAATCATTTTTCCTTATATATTCTGCAACTACCAACAATAGGGCAGACTTGAAAATGGTGAGAACATCATGAAACTGACCTGTTCGGTGACAAATTTGTTGACATCTTCGTTCTTGGGCAAGAAATCATTCCAGTTCAGCCCAGCATCCATCCACATGTATCCAACCTTTTTAGGGGTCTAAACAATAAAGACAAAGACCAAACATTAAGTCTTTAGAGAGTATAAAAATAATTATAATTATTATTAAATTAAAAAATTATATGTTTTTTAAGCATGCAAGATGTGTGGGTTTTTTTTATTATTATTTATGAACATACCATTTCCTTGCAGAGCAACTTTAGGATCTGTACCAGCAGCACAGCAGCCTTCCCCTGAGGCAAGAGAGGCTTTGCAATCTCCCTGAAAACATAATTACAAAGTAAATTGAGATGCATTTCATTTTGTCTTGCATACTTCTTCAGTGATCACTACAGTAATTATTGATATTGTGGTATTGACATTATTTGGAGATTCCTGAAGATCCCCTCAAAAAAGCAAAAGTGAATGGGATCTGGGAGTCACTGCGCTTAAAACAAAAATAAAAGACCCTAAAAAAATCTGACATTTAAGCGCTAAACAACACTAAGTTCACCTAAATAGCTGTCCAATAGGGATGCCTCCTTCATGAAGCATGGGAGTTATGAGCTCAGCCAGGTAGAGCCAAATGTGAGGTATATCAATGGCAATGTCTTCTGCAGCCTCCAGAGTGTCTTCTAATCTGCAACACCAAACAAAGAACCTGAGTCTGACATCAACTTAGATTACATACATTTACATTGGTTTTAAAGCTGTTTTTAAGGACAAAAGAAATGATCCCGTTGCCTGCTCACCCCTTGTAATACTGCTGCATTGGCAATGTTCCTGCCTTAATAAGTTGATGAAACAACAGGCCCATGTGTTCCCTTGCAATTGTGCTACGCTCGAGTGTCGACTCCACACCAGTCCTCACAAACAGATATAGCAGAGAGGCACTGTTGAGCTCCGACACGCATTGCAGCGCTTCCTACAGTACATAAAGAGGAGAGAGTGTGTTTTTTTTTTTAGATGACACAAGAACATGCCAGTGTGAGAAAATTGTTTGTGTCACATTTCTACCTTTAAGTCATTGATGTGCAGATATTCTTCGACGATGGCATTCGACTTCTTCTCCACGTCTGCCTCAGTCAGAGCAGGTTTAGGAAGTGAGGCAAGAGGAGGAGTGGGGGCGCTTTCCCGTTTAACTGCAAAAAAAACCCCGAAGATTTTAAGCAACGGTCCTGTTTGACTCCACTATACATCAACACTATATTTAAACTATTATAGTTTCATTGGGACTATGTACCTGGGAGATCTTTGCCAGGTCCCCTGTCTCTGCTCCCTCGGTCTCTGCTTCCTCTGTCCCGACTTCCTCTGTCCCTGCTTCCTCTGTCCCTACTTCCTCGGTCCCTGTCATCCGTCATGCTTGCAACACGACGCACAGCCTCTGTTGTGGCCCGACCATCTCCTCCCCTTCCACCACGCTCCTGCGACTCTCTGCTGAAGCTTCTTTTGGTGATTTGGTTACGATTGCTCCTGTCATCACGACCTTCCCGACCTTCACTGCGATCAAACCTGTCAAAACGATCCCTCTCACCTCCACGGTCCCGACTAGAGCTTGACCTTTAAGTTTTAAGTTAAATAAAATGGGTCAGTAAAAACAGAAACATTAAGATTTCAAAATCACAGCTTTATGGACAGGGCTACATTTTCTATTATTTATTTTTACAGATATTGAGGCTACTGGGGATAAATTCAGTAAGATCTAAGATGAAAAATAGGCAAAGCAAAGCAAAGAGGAAATAACTACCTGTGAGGAACTCTACGATCAGAGTCTGATGAAGACATTAGTGAACCAGACTGCTGCAGGGCAGAGTAACGGTTCAGATTGCTGGCAGCAGGACGACCAGGATCTAAAATACAGTGAGAGGGAAACAGATTAAACACGGAAAAAAAACAAAAACAATGAGTACCATTAACTCGTTTTTTTTTTTATTATTAATGTTTTACCCTGTTCACTTGTTGTTTTTGCTCCAGTTCCTCCACTGCTTCCTTTGCCCCAGCTGCCCCACATGCCTTTGCCTCCTGGAGCTAACAGTTGATTATTGAAGTCCAAAGCACCAGTCTGCAAGAACAAAAAAATATTCTGATGTATCTCTTACACAATGTGTAAAGCCAGTAGTAGCTTTATGCCAGAACTTGGATTATAGATACCTTTGTGATCTTGCTAAGACGGGTAGGGTCAATTGGTCTGGTTTTGGAAATGGGCACCGTTTTCCATTCCTCTTCCTGAGTCTGCCCAACCCGGCCACCTCCTTGTGTGTGAGGACCCCGGCCTTCAATGCGTCCTCCCCCCATCCTGCCTCCACCAACATCTTTTTTGGACATGAGCTGCTGCACTTTAATCTGCTCTCTGTGCTCCTCCAGCTCTGCTTCCTTGTGTATTTGGTCGATTGTTTTTGGACCCTGGTCTGCTCTACGAGGCACCCAGTTGTTCTGGTTAAGAGTTAAAAAGGTTTTTAATGGTTTTATCATCCAGCACAATAACACAGTGTTGTAGATCATTTGTGCATTAGTTCTGATGATTCATCCTTTACATTTAATAACAGCTTTTGAAATAAAAAATCATTAAGAGATACCTTTCTAAGGTCTATGACATCTTGCAGCATGAAGCGAATTCTTGATGATGTTTTCCTCTCTTTGATGATTTTGTCCATCTGGTTAAAATACTGTTCCATACGAGGCTGAAAGGTAAAGACCAATAGAGTCATGCAATGATGTGTACACTCATGGTTCTGAACATTTATTAAGTTTCCTCAGTTCCTCAATCCCATCACTAATAATCAGTGGCCCAGACACGTGGCACAAAAATGAAAGTCATCACTGGAAACAGATTCATGATCCAAAGCCCTCCAAGTACTGGCCTTTCTTACCTTGGCCTTTTCAAAGTCCAGATCTTTTCCAATAGTGGACAGCAGTCTACAGAGACACTCCAGAGACTCTTCATCATGGTTCTTTAGTAGTTTCACAACACAGTCGTGCATGATGGCCTCCGTCAGCATCTTCAGTTTGAAGAGCTCACCTATGAACTTGATGTTACCCAGAGATCGGCGACGGGCCTTGTCTCGGGATTCTTCCAACTCCACCTTTAACCGCTCACGTTCCTCCAACTGCAGACAGGGGAGAAATAGATTTTTATAGTATATATATATATATATTAATATATGCTGTGGTCACTGGGCTTGTGATTGTTCAACAAAACATGTCTTACATCTTCAGCAGCCTCCATCTCTTTTTGCTTCCTCTCAAAGATCTCGTCATCATCCTGGTCTTTCTCAAACTCTTTCTGACAACGGTTAAGCAGCAGTTTACGGAAGTTGGCAAAAACCCCTGGTTTGTCTGAAGTGGGGACTTTCAACTGAAGGATAGAAGATGAAGTTAATATAACTAATAAAAATGTTTTATTTCACTTCCTACTACTCAACACCAAAGGATACATGGCTTTATAGATAATGTAAATATAAAGTGAATTAATTATGCCCCATCAGTTCCTCAATACCATCATTAGAAGTCAGTGGCCCAGACACGTGGCACAAAACATGTTTTTTAATTAGAGTAAATAAATAAATAAATAAATAAATAAATTTATAAAACACAGACACTAGATTCACAGAGAAGATCAGGACTTACTCCCATAAGGCAGCGGCACATGTTAGCGTAAGCCACAGAGAAGTTGGGTTCCGAGATGGCCTTCTCGAAAATGAGGTCAATGGCTCCTTTCAATCTCTCCTCCGTGTCTATCGTCAGCTCCCTAACCTGTTTCATCAGATCCTGGAACTTCTGTGGGGTCAGCTTGTTGAGAATACTTCGGAGACGCTTGAACAGCTCATTGGTCTTGAGCTGTTCATCACTGCATTCGTTGTCATCGCCATCCACCTCTTCGACGGCACGGTTACGAGTAGACTTCTTCGCTGTGGGTTTCCATGCATTTTCCGCCTTTTTTAGTTGCACATCATCACTCAGGGACATGCTGCTGATGATTTTCCTAGGCTCCTTACGCTGACCCTGCTGAGAGCGCCGTGGACCAGGAGGCTAAAAGCAGGGCAGATGAGAAACTTTTTAAATTTTAGTCAAGACACAAACTAAACAAAGGCTTTTTCTTTGTTTCATTTCTGGGGCCATAAGAAGTGTACTTACAGGGCCCCGTGGACCTCCCATTGATCTGCTCCCGAGATTCCCTAGATAGGAGGGAGTAAAATCTGGACCAGTGCTTATCAATCGAGTTGGGTCAACAGGTCGCAAAGGAGTCTTGTTCACCTGAAGGCAGAGTAACAACACAAAATAACTAATATTTTATATGCAAGTATCACATGGGCTTTTTTGTGGTTCATATTAATATTTGTAATTAGAGTTAGTTCAGCTCTTTCATGTGTTCTGAAATAAAATTAAGAGTGAAGGTTTTAAAAAAGGAATATAAAACTCAAGTGTAAAAATAAGTAAATATGTATATATGAATTAATCTATATATGATTACCAGATTTACCCATCCCTCTTTTTCAATATCTGCTTTTTATCATTTGGACACTAGTTAAGTGATTGTAAATACAACTGTATGTATAATTTAATGTATATATTTGAATTATAATTATAATGTAATGTATAATTGTATTTTGCAAGTGACACTTAAAATAAACTGCTAAAAGGGTAAGTTACAACTAACCCTAACCCATTCCCAGACCATACAACATTTAAGTTTTGCAATTTTGCTCAATCAAGTTAACTTACTTTGTCCAGGACAACATCACTGATGATAGGCAGGCCCTCTGGTTTGTTCATACTGGCACTGATAAACTGGAAGCCCAGCAAGAATTCTCTGTCATACTGCTTCTTCTCTTCTGGATTTAGTGGCTTCCATTGTTCTGGGGAATTTTGGAGAGACGTGCAAATGATAAACTTAAAATGCAATGCGAGGAAAAAGACCTCATGTTTTGCAGTATAGAATCAAGTCTTTCTTTGTGTGCGTCAAAATCTCTCGCTGCTACCAACAAATGAAAATATCAATCTTTTGGTTACAACATACCTTCTTTGTACTGGTATTTCTGCTCAGTTGGCTCAGACGTAGTGGTGGGCTTCTCAGGCTCAGGATTCTGCTTATCCTCTTGCTCTTCCCAAGTCTCATCTGTGGCCACAGCGGGGGGTTCAGCTGGAGCAGCAGGGACGGGAGCAACCTGAGTGGATGGGGGTTCCGAAACAGGCTCCTGCAGCAAAGATTAAAAGATGAATGTACAGCCAGTAACATCGTCGTATACGCTATGTTATAGCACATATATAGTTTTTGTTGTTGTTGGCCCATGAAAAAAAAGATTTACATTAAAAAGGAACTTTAAAGGACACAGATAGAGATATTAAAAACTCACATGTTCATAATATTAAGCTTTGGTTGTTCCAGATTCAATGTTTACGCAGAACTAAAGTTTGTTTACATATGAAACCAATTCTAACCCTAACCCTAACCCTCTGGAGAGAATTATGAAATATGCACAATAGCCGTCAATTTCAATAAATATTGAGTTTGGCCCGCAACTTTGTTTCAGATTTAATTTTTGGCCCACTGTGAATTTGAGTTTGACACCCCTGATTAAGAGGGTAGAGGGTGACCCAACATTAACATTAAGATGTTATCTAGCGATAATCTGGAGGGATACTGACATCTGTGAATGCATCCAGGAGGTCTCCAATGGCCTCCTTTTTGTAGAGCTCCTTCATGTTCTTCTTCTTCTTTGGCAGAGACGAAGCAGCTTCAACAAAAATAAATAAATAAAAACTTTACAAAAACTAAAAACAGCTGTTTCACATTACAGCTGGATCTGTAATAAATGCAAGGATTTGACTGACAAAGTTGATGCACAGTCTGATATCATAAATGGTAATTTAATATATAGAAATCCCTAACACCGTTTTTGTTACATTACAGGTGGGAAATACATTTTATTACTATTAATACAAAGTGCACATTGATCAGGATCTTAATGAACTAGTATAATAAATTCACCACATAATCACCTTTTTTTCTTTTCTATTGTCCTCAATCAGTTACAGCCATTAACATAACACTTTAGAGTTGAATTTGGAATTTATGTCATTTTTAAACTATCTGTGACACTGTGTTGACATTCTGCTTCAACCTACCTTGCATAGAAGATTCCTCTGCGGGGCAGTTAACAGATGTGACAAGAGCATCCTCGCTTTTCTCCTTCCTGTCTTCCTCCTTCTCCACCATCTCTTCTTCTTCAGATGGTGCTGCAGTTTCATCCACAGATGTAGATTCCTGAGATTGAGTAGTGTCAGGCTTGTCAGCGGTTGTAGTGTCAGAAATTGCTACATCCTCAGACAATTCCTCTACGTCCTGAGGAAGTCCATTAGGAAGAGGAGGCTCTTCAGTTTTATCCAGGGTAGGTTCTGGTTCAGCCTTTCCAGTCTGTGGCGCAGCAGGTTCCTGTGCAGAGGAGGGTGGCTGGGGTGTTTCAGTCACCGACTTGGTTACCACTTCATCCTTCTCTTCCTGTACAGGAGCAACAACTACTGCAGCTTCAAGTGCCAGCTCTGGATTGGATGGGGCCACTGGCTGCTCTTTTTCTATCCTTGTGACCTCCTCTGTTGTCCTTTTCTCCTCCAGGACTTTCTCAGCTGAAGCCAGTGGTTCAACCACTAATGATAATGATGGTGGTGGTGATGATGATGGCAAAGAGCCAACAGGAGCATCTACTGTGTCACTGGGTTT